GCACTTTTCCTCTCACCATTTCAACAAAGTTTCAAGGCAGACCATGGAAGCTGCTGATGGGTTACTGTAAGTAGCAGCTCTGTAAGCTCCTTAATCAACACTCCATAGCCTCCTGCACAGTGCTAGGCAAGTACGCTAGGCGCTCTTTGATTAGGCTCATGCTAAGGAAGTAAGCCTTAAATCAGCTCATGAGACAAGAAACTTCATTTTGTGCTATTTGGGATTCATTTTAGAGCCATTACAAGACCTTTATTTATTACAAGGCCTATTCATTTTATGATTTAGTCCAATGATTTTTCTTTATGATTAAACCAGAATGCTCTCTTAAAAAAAAAAAAAAAAAAAAAAAAAGATAATGGTTGTTAGGTTGTTATTTGATGCAACCATTGTGACAGACCTCTAATTGACTTCTTTTTCTCATGACAGCCTTTTCATACTTGCCCCTGGGCACCAAATTAAAATGGCCTGAATTTCAGACACCTGGAGAGCTTACAGTTCAACTATGGAATTAAATGTTCTGCACTCCTATGAATGTTCTGCAGACTTCTAGAAATCTTAATTAAAAGCATTTTATTCTATGTACAAAATACTCTTTTAAAGCAAGAAAAAGTAATGAAAATCAGGGTTCAGTTTTTTTTTTTTTTTTTTTTTTTTTTTTTCTTCAGTTACACTGATATTCTCTTTTAATTTCAAGTTTAGAAATTGTATCAGTACTAATAATATTCCACAAATAGGGTAAAGTATTGCCAGTCCTCTATATCATTTACAATGTAAATAATCTGACAGTTATAGCAAGGAGTTGTATCTGCAAATTGATTTGTCAGAAATTGCTCTATATTTCACAAAATTATTTGAATCTACAAGTATAGCTAAGCATATAGAACATAGAACAATAGCATGGGTATCACAGGAAGTCACTGCTTCTGAGACTGATGCAGGCACACTAGGTTTGCTTTCATGTTCAATTTTCTCTTAGCTATTTTCCTGATTTTATCATAGAGATGTCCTAGCTATTTCTGAAGTGCTTTGTGTCTGTACTTAGTGCAGCCTGGTATGAAAGATGCTTGGTCATACTCCTCTGCCACACAGGGAGAGTAATTTTCTGCCTAAGCCAAAAGATTGCATTGCTTCTGAGAATTTCATAAGACCCCAGTACTCTTGGTGACAAATTTTCCATCTATCTGAGTAAAGTTGAACAGCCCATGCTGTTCATGATAACTGCTGAGAGACTGTTGAGATCCCACTGAAACTTCTGGCCTCTTACTCACATCACTAAGAAGGGTTGAGCAAGAAGGGGATCAGCTGAGTTTCACCAGCCTTCATTCTGACTGTATGTGATAGTACTACAACCCTCACCCAAAAGAATCAACAGAATCAGACCTAGAAATACATATGTATTCTCCCTGGAAGTCTTGTTCAGCAGAATTTATTCAAGGAAAAAGATCTGTAACTCCTGCTCTTACATGCACTCTTTCCCTTCCATTTATCTGAATGAATTCTATCTGGCAGTATCCTTGCATTTTGGTAGATGCGTGGGGTGACAGACATAGGTATTCCTCTCATCTTGAATCTAAAATTATGATACAAGAAGAAAGGATCTGCAGATCTCTGCAGGAAGGATGCAGAGAGAAAAGTGTGCCCCTAGTTCAAACCTGGCAAGCTCAAATTTATCCTTCTTAGGGACATAAGAGCCAGCCCACAGCAGCTTCCAGGTTGCAGGAAGACCAACCAACCTGAGGCTGAGTTCAAGTTTTAAAAGATTAGATGTAGTCTATGTCAGTAAAAATCCTAAAGAAAACCAGCGCAGAATTTTAACTTTTCTTCCAGTTTTAATTTTTTCTTTATCCAGCTTAATCCAGTGAGTTAGTACTCACAACTGTTTCTGCTGACATACTTTCTTACAGAAAAAAAAAAAAAAAAAAAAATTGTACTCCATATTTCACAATTCTAATTGTTCAAATTTTGGCTAACATTGAGCACTCGGAGAATTTGCTGATTTTCTGAATTGAGTAAGAATCCCAAAGCAGGCAAATGGCAGAAATCTTCTGTTCAGTCTGGAGGCCTCCATTTTTACCTAATGTCTCAAACTGATACTCAACAGCCTTGCAAATTGAGGAAGGTTCTTTTTTTGCTTCAGAGGATTTGAGACTTCACCCTGAGAATAAATCTGTATTTAGGAAATGAGAACTCATATTACATCTTCCAGCAGCCCTCCTTTGTTTTGTAAAGCAGGTGCTTACCAGACCTCCTCTGAAGCTGACCAAATGCAGAGGGTCAGTCCAGCCGGAGTGCAAATATTACTAAAGCAGAGGAAAAGTGGTTGTCTACTTTAAAAAGCAGGAGCCCAACTGTCCATTTTCCAATCTTAAGAATGATATCATCAGCTTAAGAAAACAGAGCTTCAAAACACCAGGGCCAGTGAACAAAAGAAAGCATTTTCTGTTCATCTGCTTAACGTGGAATCAGTTGATGCTAAAGCTTTTGGAGTAAGCAAGTAAAATGGAGGTGGATAACTCATAGGCTGAGTTAGCAAAAATAGCTGTTCCATTCTGGTAATGTCATAGGTTACATCAATAAAGTGCTTTCATCTCTAGCTCACAGTAATCAGACAGTGATTCTTCACATTGTTACAATACTAAAGCTACAAAAAAAAGAAACAGTACTGTATCTGTATAGCTGAGTAATAACGTCCATAAAGGTTATTTTCTTTAGTGACACTGTGGGAAAAATAATTCCAAATACGGCTAAATGAAGCAAACCTTCAGTACAGGGTACCTACAGTGATATTCAAAATGACTTTGGTGCCTGGTACACAGTTTAGGAAGTATTTAGATGTATTGATCCACTAAAATAAAACGGGAAAATCTGCCCTCAGTACATACCTATGTGATGAACCACCCATGTAACACATTTACACATACGAGAGAGCATTTAGTGGAATGCAAACAAGGTCTGAAGCATGTCTCAAGATGCAAGGGGGAATGGTCTTATTCTAAAGTAGAAAAAATTTAAATTAGATGTCAGGGGGAAGTTTTTCCACTGAGAGGACAGTGAGATGCTGGAGCTGGTTGCCCAGAGAGAATATGGATGCCCCATCCCTGGAGGTATTCAAGACCAGGCTGGATGGAGCCCTGGGAAACATAATCTACTTCTAAATCCTATGGTTGGAAACCCTGCCAGTGGCAGGGAGATTGGAGCTTGGTGACCCTTGAAGTCCCTTCCAACCTAAGTCATTCTATGATTCTATGAATTTATGAAGCTAAGCTATATTAGCTAGAGGTGAGACAGAGCTAACTCATCATGACAACGTCTAAGGTTTTGTTCACTCATACCATATTGGATCACAGCACAATATTAAGGATACCTAAGATTCACTCTTCAGCTATTCCCTGGCCACGTACATTCTGGTTCAAAGAAATGTTTAAGTGCCTGCCTTTCTCCTACCACATCTATTTAGAGATGGTCCTATAGTTAGAAAGCATAAGACCACTTTCATTCATTATTTTGTTCTTCAGACTAGAGTTTTGTCACAATGAAATCATGGATACCCAAATCTTCTATTGGATTTGGTTCTTCAAGATTCTGAACTCAACTCGATCTGTAAATTGTTAGCATGCAACCTATAATGGTGCAAAGACTGCAAAAGTTCCTCTGGAAAGAATGTCCTTTAATTAAAGGTACTTCTCTAGGTGCTAAATCCCTAAGTGCCATTTAGAACTAAGCATGATCAGACTAAATTATTCCTTGCAGTATGTGCATTAGAATGCGATGAGATAGTAATCAGGTGGTAACGTGGTGCATTAGACTCAGTGTCATGGCCAGAAGAGGCTCACTGGGTAATTGCAGTGAAGCATGATGTTATGGTTGGTGATGGTGCTGTTCAGAGAATCTCCAGGGAAAGTGTGGTTTCCACAAAGCATACTGAGATTCTGCTGTGAGGTAATTAGAAAAGCATGACTGATTTTTTTTTAATTTCATTTCATATCCTCTCTTCTTTAGATATAACAGTCTGAGAATAACTACAGCAACATTATGTCTTGCTGAAATTAGCTAACTGGCCCTTGCTTTGAAAAGAGCAGGGTTCTACCCAACTTCTTCTCCTTGAAAGTTAGCTTTATAAAATTCGTTAATTTACTGACACAGCATGTATTTCCAATCCTGACAGTTTGTCACAGCACAAAATCAGTATTAGGATTTGTGTTTAATTACCATATTCTAATATTAAATACCTTTTAAACTCCTCTGATTAATTCTATTCAAATGTATAACTGAGTCTGGAGATGAGATCTACCTTCTTCAACACTTCAATTAATCACAAAGAATGACCTCACCTACAAATATTTGTCCCAGAAAATGTATGCCCTTGTTGTCCTAAATATTCCAAGTCACACTTAAGTTTAGAAATTTCCATACCATAACCACTTTTTTGTTCACAAAAAGTGTACTACGAAAAAAATCAACATACGAAACTGAAAAATCCTGTCTGGGGGAGGGTCCCCAGAAGTATGTAATGCAGATGATAAAGTGTGGGATTTAATCTGAGAGCCAGGCATAAAGGTTATCTGGGATTGAGCGCCGAGTGATCTTGAATACTCTCCTGCCCCCAGCTCTGCTCAGTACTAGATAGAACATGCAAGAATAATGGCATAGACCACAGCTCAGCATTTTCTGCCTGGATGGTTCTAAGAGAGACCTTAATTTGCTAGAGTGGCAAATGATAATATTGGATTGGAGAGGAAATCAGCCAAAGATGCACCATCACTGCTCTCTACTCTCAGCAAAGCAAACAAAGAACATGGAACACAGCATACTGCTGGTTATACACAACACTCATTGCCAGCAAACCAAGGTACTGAATCTGCATCCTGAAAATGCTGTGTTTGCAAACATATTTAATTCCAGTTTATTGCATCCTTATTGATTTTTAAAATACATGCATGAATTATACATAGTATAACCCTAATATAATGCTTTTCATTTGATTTTCTTTACAATTTTAGCTCCGGAAGTGTTCCAGGCCTTTATGGATGGAGGTCCAGGATACTCATACCCTGTTGACTGGTGGTCTCTAGGAATTACAGCATATGAATTGTTGAGGGGTTGGGTAAGAATAATGCTTAATCTACTGCCTGAAAGAAATCCAAATGTTTGCAATTTCCCAGAACATGCCCTTAATGATAACACTGGAGTGACCAAGGCTGAGACTGTGGTCAGGTATGCAGTTCTGGGCCCTCCCCAGCTGACAACATCCTTGGGAAGGTATCACCTCACACTCATTAATGATATAAAGTTTGTGTAAAATGGACATAGGCTTTTGGTGTGTGCTAAGGTTAAAGCCTAATATTTCAATGGCTAATCAAAATGCTGAACTAGAAACAATGGAATCTTTTCCAGATAGAAGTTCAGTTACCTCTGGCTTCATTATATCTTTGATTCTCTTATATAATGTTTAAAAGATGATAATATCCCTACATCACTGGTTCAACTACAGAAAAATGTTTATCTGCCAGTTCACTCATTAGTTATCTAATCAATTCTGTGAATAAACATAGTGAAAAAATCTTTGCCAAAATATTTCACATGGAATGGCAAAAGTCACAGCCCCAGTATAAAGATCTCTCTCTCCCATGCCACATGTCAGTACATCTCTCAAAAAAAAAAAAAAAAAAAAAAGAAAAAAAAAACAAACCCACAGCAAACCACAACTTATATTATTTAAAAAAATAATAAAAATGCTTTGCAATTTTTCCCTGTCATGATTCTCAATTTTTATCTGAACAGTGAAGTTCTGGCAGCGATAAGAAAAGTACATTCTGAATCCCAGTTACAGAGGGAAGTGCTAGATGTATATAAAATGAAAAAAAAATGTCCATCTGCTTTTACATCAATCCTTTCACCACAGAGTGTCTCCAGGAAAGGAAAACAATCAATGATCATATAAGGACAGCTGAAACTCCCATGGCTAATAACAAAAGATACCCAATCACTTTCCTAAATGAAAAATGATATAGATGGGTATCTATTTGCCAAGATCAGTACAGTTGTCTCTGAATAAGCCTGTCTAGCCAGAGACAAGGCAAAGCTGAGGCTGAATCAAAATGTGTTTTTTTTGTTTTTTGTTTTTTTGTTTTTTTTCTAAGTGCAAACACTGCCATCTGTCCATGCTCCAGTCAACCAAGCCAGCTGCTTGTTTTTTCCCTAAGAGCAGCCCTTTCCTGTGAAGCAAGGCAGAGCATGGATTGGAACCCACACCTTTGCATATAACTGCAAAAGGTGTGTTTTTTCCCCAAATTGTATTTCTATGTTTTCAGTCTTGTTAAGGCCTAAACCCCTAGGAGTAGAGACAAGGGGAGTATTGGTACTCTGAGGCATGGTGCTTCACCCAAGGCATGTTTGCAACAACCTCAAGCTCCGAAGGTCCATCTGCTGCAGCAGCTCTGTGCAGATGGCTGCAAAGGGGTAGCACAACCATACAGGGCTGCATGGTAAGCAGTCCCCTTCACTACCATGAAGCCCACCCAGCCTCAGAGGAGGACGATAAACCGCAACAGTTCTCACGCCTTGTGTTTTACCACAAAGCACCCAGGACAGCACGCTGCTTGAAATAATGCTGGATTTTCCATCTACAGGAGTAATGCATTTGCACATTGCTGTACAAATAGCATTTGGCTCCAGATCTCATATCACACATTGTGTAGTTACTATGTAAAGCCTAATTCACAAGCAATCCATGCTCTATCCCAGTTTTAAAATACACCTCAACATAGAGCAATATTCTAACAATTTTCACCAGAAATACACACCTTTAAATATGCTTTTTTAATAATTAAGTAGTAAATTTATGGGTAGTACTTTTATTTCCAAAGGCTACATTTAATAAAAGGTAAATCATAGCAATCTTCAAGATCAAAGCACTGTGAAGCCCAGGCATTGCAGGTACATATAACACCTACATCAATGCAATGAGTTCATTTTAGATATCAAAAAGAGGTATGAAAAAAGATTGGGTTGTGGAAAGTCTGAGCTCTTACTGTGACTCTCATGAAGATTTTTGTATGCTTAATATCTCAGTGAAGTCAGGATTACAAAGCTCACTTTAGCTAGCAACATTGCATTTGGTTACTTAAATCACAAGTTTTTCCTAGTACTACAAGCTAAAAAAGAAAAAAAAAAAAAAGTAAATTAGTAAATTCTATTTTCATATGAAATGCCACAGGAACAAAACTATTCACCAACTAATTTGAAGGGATACTTAGCATGAGAGAAAAAACTAGAGAAGAAATGCATCTATGAGTAATTATATTCATTATAATCAAAGAAGAGAACACATGCAAGGAATGATTAGCTTAAAATTGTTACAAGATATTTTGATGTTTCAATATCTCCAGTACAAACAATACTGAGCTCAGGAAATGTGAATTGTGTACATTTATTATCCACTCCTGCTGAATTGATATTGATTTAACTTAATTCCAGAGGCCATATGAAATTCATTCAGCCACCCCCATTGATGAGATACTCAACATGTTCAAGATAGAAAGAGTCCACTACTCATCTACATGGTGCAAGGGCATGACAGCATTACTAAAAAAGGTAAGAAAGTGCAACATCTTCCATCCTCTCTTTTCTTCTTGTACAGAAGCCCCTCCAGCAATGCAGAACATCAGGACACACATTAGATAGCCAAAATTTCAAGGATAAGGAAGTAGTTCTTTTTCCCTACGGTTTTCCAAGCGTTGTTGATGCTGTATTTTTTCTTAAGAAATTGTATTATTCCTAAGCTGACACTTCAAATAGCCAGAAAGAAGCAGAAACCTAATATTTTTATTTTAAAACCAATTCACTAATGATAGGAAAGTGTAATTCCAGCTCCCTGACTATCTGCTGCTGTTTCCAGCCAGAGATCTTAGAAATAAAAAAGGCTGCATTTCTTGCTGTCCTGTGTTGCTACAGATGCAATAGTAGAAGTCAAGCCACTTCACTGGAAATGTTGCTAAGCTACAAGATGGGGTTCTTTTTCAATATGCCATGTCCCTACAAGGTGTGTTCTTCTTAAAACCCCAGTCTATTTTATTTTTTCTCTGCACTGTAAGGTTCATCTACCTCTTCTAGGCATTTCCAATCATCAGTACTGAAGATTTTATGAATGTGTGAATAGAGAAACAGAAGAACTTTTCCTTTTGCAGCAATGAGCAATCTATTTTTAATAAATGGAGCAACAAGGTGGCCAATTTTAACTGCTACCAGGATGCTCAATGTACCAATATCTTCCAATAAATTAAAGATGAAGTACAAATTGTTGTGTGACATTGAACTGCAATGTTTCATGTCACTTGGACTCTTATCTATTTGTAAACAGGCTTCTGTTACTAATTCATTTATACAGCTTACATTTGCAGCAGCCATCTGTTAACAGTTAGATTTTATATATATATATATATATATATATTATATACATACACACACACACACACACACGCACTTTCTATGAGTTACTACTTCCATTTTTTGGATCATACCTTCTAGAACTTGTTAGAGAATTCCCTAGCCATGCTCACACACTACATTGTGTACCATTACAAGTAATGTCTGATACATTTCCTGTTTTATCCAGTCCCTTAGAAAATTTCTTGTGCTTGATCACAGCTCCTCACCAAGGACCCAGAGTGCCGTCTTTCAAGTCTTGCAGATATCCAAAGCTCTCCATACTTAGTTGATGTCAACTGGGATGCTGTTCTGGATAAAGCTGTGACTCCAGGCTTTGTTCCTAATGTAAGTTGACATGCCAGATAAACAGCGTTCACAAATTCTAAACTTTTAACTTGTTTACACTTGCATTTACTGCTTTTCAGTGATTTATTCTAGTATGCAAAACCTTTTTCCTTCAAAACAGTTCCAGAATGGCTGACCCATTTCCTTTTTGACAGTTTCCTTTACTAAAGCATTCAGAATTCACAAGGGAATTTGGTGGCAATTCTTTTTTCTGTGATACCATTTTGTTCTTATTTTGATTTTGTCATTAGTAAGTTGAATGGACTTGAATATCATGAAGTAAAAGCGGTAGCTGTAGCGTTGACACATTTCTTGACTTGGTTCAGTCATTGAAGCTATATTGCACCATAACTCTTCTCCAAACAATATATATAGAGTACTAAGGATGATTTTTTTTTAAAAGTGAAATTCTGCTGCTAAGAACTGGATACAAACCAGCTTTGGTCTGGAAGTGTACAGCCAAGCAATGCGTTTCACTCTACTAGCCCTAACTGTTTAGCAGGGAGGTATGGTAGCTTGGCTGTACTAATAAGAACTAATAATGGGACTACAACTTTTCCACATCCAGCTGGCTTATGTCCAGCCATCCCAGAGTCTGGGCATAACAAATATGGGATGGTCTCCAGCTGGCCACAGATAAGTATCTTTAACCTCTTAATTTACAGTTCTCATGTAGATGTTTGGTTCTTTTCACTTGGACTCAGATATTTTTGAGGGTACCTGGGAGAGAGTATATTCCCTGAGAGAGTGAAAAAAAAGTTGTCTTAGATATAATTTCAAAAGGAATCATGAAACCTATGTGTTGGGTACTGCTCTTTTGGCCAACTGTTTTTTCCTCTGTGACTGATGTTGACAATAGTAACCATATTGCATTGCTGCACCAATTCCATTACTTTTAACTGCTACTTTTAAATATATGTCCAAAGACATATTTACGTTCTTGTCACTTTGGAAGTCACCACCATTGAATTTTGGAAGGAGTCTAAGTTTAGGAGAAATTATAGAAGGGTTGAGAAAGTTATTTTGCTCAAGAAGATATTATGGCAAAGACAGATGGAAAAGGATTCAAACCCTAAGATTTCTTTAGTTCCTCACTTTCGTTTCCCCCATTCCAAAACCTGAAGAACTGCGAGAGGGAAAAACATAATACCAGTAAAAATGAATCGCCAGAATAGTTAAGAAATGTGAAATTAAATTTGAGTTGCAAGACTGATCCTTGCTTGATGCTGGGAAAATAATATTCCATCTTTAAAAGTAGAAAAACAGTGTTTCTTACCTATAGAGATCAATCTGAAATTCCTATTAAAAAACTCTGCACATCAGGATAAAGTTTGATATTGCAGAGGTTGTTCCACCTGATCAATCAGATGTACTAGGAAAAACAATGAGAATGTGAGTCAAAGTGTATTTTCCAGGCTGACATATCTTTACACAGTATGCTTTGCTATTTCAAGAGACGAGGTTTGGCAAGGCATTTCCCAAGAACCGTACTCTGTTGACCAAGGAAAGCATTCACTGATTAACTGAGACCAGAGAACAAAATATTTATTGATTTTCAGGTTTTAGGCAAGAGGCTGAATTAACGTCAGCATATGCCATCATCAGGGTAGAGTCTCATTGTTTTAACAGCTTGGTGTTTCATTCAAGAGCTTGTCTTGCCTTCCTTTCCTCTGATCCACAGATACATCTTTGAATTACTACTACTGTTTCTATACTATTTACCTAATTTCTTTATATTCAGCTTAGCCACATAAACAACAAATAGTTTTTTGTACTGCTAAATATTCAACAAAGGAAGCAAGAAATTATTTAACCCACTTTCATTTATTAAACTTAATGCTATTACCTCTGACCAGATAAACTGAAAAAATGCCATGATATTTCAAAGAGTAACTTTGAATCCTTTCGTACCAGAAAGGAAGACTGAACTGTGATCCAACATTTGAACTTGAAGAAATGATCTTGGAGTCCAAGCCCCTTCACAAAAAGAAAAAGCGACTTGCCAAAAACAAATCCAAGGATGGAACTAAAGAAAGCTGCCCTCTGGTAAGTTTCAGCCACTGGCTTGTAACATGTGTTCTGTAACGAGCAAAGTAACTGAAGTTCTGTTCCACCATCTGTGAAAATACAGTTGGTCTCTATGTTTCTCTGTGTTTACATACAACTGCTGAATCCTTCTCCAAAGATGAAAGCAACCACTTACCTCAGTGAAATAGTAACAGCACATTGGAGCTATAATCATTTTTAAGATTAACACTGATGCCAGTTCAAAGTATAAAAAGAAGTGTTGCCAGTTGCAAATATGCTTCCCACACATGGCCAGACATTTAGGAGTATTTATTCACTACTAGTACCAAAAATGAGAAGTACGCAGTGAAATATTTCTTACTTATAAACATTTAAAAGCTGTCTTTCATGGCCTTACTCATGCGTTCCACATAGAAAGACATACTGAATAAACAGTCCAAACCTTTAAGGAGACAAAGAAATAACCATTCCTCAAATTTGAATTTTTATTTCATTGGGGTCTTTTTAATGAGTTCTCTTGCTTCTCCCAATAATTTTGAATGATTACAAAATCCATTTTTCTTAGAGTTATCAAAGTTAAAAATTCCCAGGAATTCCTTGTGGGGAACAGCTCCCAAAACAGGGAAAGAATGATTGCACTTTTAGGGCCCACTTACGAAGAATCTTCAAAATACCTTTTGGTAGCATTCATTCATAAGCTGTTTTATTTGGTACTGTTTCTGTAGGTGTGATCTTGTCTATGATTTTCTGTCATTTTTAATCAACCTATTTCTGCTGTTTTTTAAAGAACGTACACCTGCAGCAGTGCTTGGAAACTGTTAGGAAAGAATTCATCATATTCAACAGAGAGAAGTAAGTGCATTTCTTAATGCCTCTTTACCATTCACTACTGAAATTAATTTGAGAATGATTTTTTTTTCTCCCACTCTAAAGAAAAGCGGTTAACGATGTGATTAGCAGAGCTAAAAGCCTCGCTTTCTACTCATCTCATCCTCTTAGACTGCAGTGCAGTAGTTTTGTAGTTTCATCTCTGAAAGCAAGCAAAAGTGCTTATGGTAAAAGTAGTTAGGAAGATAATATCAGTGTCCCTAACACTGCTCCAGAGAAGCCATTAACAATTAAGGAAAGGGAATACAATGCAAGGAACTGGGCTTTTTTCAGAACTCAGAGAAGAAGAAAGGGAAAAAAAAAAAAAAAAAAAAAAAAAAAAAAAAAAAAAAAAAAAAAGAGAGAAACCCCATGCATTTTTAACAATATGAATGACAGGGTTCTGACTTGACAACCCTATTCATACTCCACCACTATAAAACAGGTTGTTTAATCAGATGCTTTTTCAGTAAAGCTAGATATTTAAGGTATATCATAAACAGAGAGAGCACTCCACATTTACCTGACAAGGAGAATCAGTAGAAATGCAAGTCTGAATATCAAGATATCAATACTGTTCCTGGTCCTTTTAATACACTACATTTCAGATAGTTTACTGTGTTTGAGTCTGAGCCACTGTAGAACTACTTCTGTTATGGATTGTAACACTCAGAAAGATCAACACAATGGAATGGTGATACAGGAGGTATAATGACACAGGGACTACTACAATAGAAAGGGGTTACAAAGAAAAAAAGTACTTACCCATCTCTGAAGCTCTAGGCTTGCAAGGGAAACCTCACAAGGGAGGGCAGTCAGGCCTTAAATGAGGTCTAAGAGAGGTGCAGCCAGACTCCACCCCTTCTGGTCACACAGCTGAATTGCCTTCACCTGTGCTCCCAGTGCTGACCAGGTTCTTTCCCCAGGTGCTCAATCAGTGGTTCAGGCCATGACTCAACAGTTACCATACATGAATATAACTCACAACAGGAGAATTGTTTGTGGTTTTGGTCCATTTTTCAGTTTCATTCAAGTATGTTCAGTGGTTTTATTTGTCCTGACCAGGTATTTACCTGGATTTCCAAAGTTATACGATGAGTAGAATTCTTAGGAACAATTGCGAATGTTGAAAGGCATTAGCTGTTCCTACAAAGACAATATCCAATAAATGATCATATCAGTCTTACAGGTGTTAATCCCAAGCACAGCTTTAAATTAGTTTCAAATTAACACAGTCAGATGCTTTGATATTCCTCCATAGTCCTCTGCATTAAGCAGAGTTGATTACACAGTCTACCTGTTTGAAAATATGCTAAAAGTAATCACAATTTTTAAAATGTAGCCTCTTTCAAGAGAAAAAAAAATGAAAATCCCCAAGCTAGAAATATTCTAGGAAAAAATACAGGTTAAGCAATGTAGAGTCATATAGTAATGTCCTGATGGAGTGTAGAATTAACCATTCCAGTTCTATGTCTTGCAATTCATTATTTGTAAAATATTTGCTAGGAAAAGCAGACTGTTTTTATAGAATATCTCACTGATATTCTAAGGCTGTCTCTCTTTTTCAATATATACCTTTAAACTTACAACAGATGTTGCAAATCTTGAAATAGATCATATTCATTTTCATTCGGAGAAACTCGGAAGACAAGCAGGAACTGACAGGGTGCAATTAAGGGGGAACAAATGAAGCATTAGGGTTAAAGATAAGGCTCACTTTTTTTTCATATTTTTTCATAATTTTTTCAAATTTTTATAATTTTCATAAAAAAAATGCAGAAAAAAATCAAGAGACTGACTGAAGTGTTACTAAGCAGTGCAAGTGGGTATGCTGGTGATGGATTGATGATTGGATTAGATGATCTTAGAGGTCTTTTCCAACATTAATGATTCTATGGTTCTGAGTTAATACTGGCAAGTATAGAAAGTGAAAATCAATGTTAGCAAATACAGAGTGTACACATTTCTATTTTTCTATTGCGTTCTAAAGTTCAGTATATACTCATGGGTATTCACAGGAATGGTTTAAGGAAAATGAGCATGAGGAAGTATCAGTACATACCTTTAGGACATGATTACACACTGTCCCAGTACTACATAAAATAAGAAAAGCAGCCTTTTGTAAGCCAAGTTCAAAAGTGATGGAGAAAATCTTTTGTATTCTTCTGTAAGAGTAGCAGCAAAGTCTCTTTCTTAGCTTCAAATACAAACTAAATGGACTATGGTCTAGAATGTACTGGATCTTGGTTGGAGATTATGATCTTATGTTGATTTCAGGGACTTGTTTAGCTCTTTCGGCTGACGAATGGAATTTTTCTATTTTAAAATTTATTACTACAGATAGAGCTTTATTATATCTAGAAATGCAGCACCAAATATTATGCAGTATCTGAAGGCATCTTGCTAGCAATTTTTCAAGAAGCTGATCTTATTTAGAAGCTGTAGGCTATATTTTCTTCAGGCAATAAATAAAATATTGTACAGATAAAGCCATGATGTTTCTTTTTAGCTTCATTAGAAAGCTGAGCATGGATTATCTTGCTATTTTAGTGCTGTAATCACTAAAGAAATCTTCATATACATCTACATTTGCTTATGAATGTTCAAAACCTGAAATAGCACAAAATGAAGAAGCAGAAGCAATGTTTTCTTGTAGAAGAACCTCATTTCTTATCCTTTATGGTTCCTGAGCCTCTTCCTCTCCCTGAAAGATGTCTTAAAGATTAAAGAGGTGAGCAAATAACGAACAGAGGAAACACAGGAAATATCTGCACCTCAGGCAGAATAATCCTTCAGCTGAATGCTTCACAAACTTGTCATCAAAATTATCAGACTAGTAATGAAATTAAAATCATAGAGCCACATATTACTAAATAGAACATGCATTATATATATACAATGCATATGAAAATGGACTCAAATTCTGAATACTTACTTAAATTAAAGGGATGGAGCAATTAGGAAAATTTCTGTATTTTAGTAGTATTTTTAGTAGTCATTAAAAACAACTACACAAAAAAATTATGTCACAATTTGAAACAGTTGAATGTCTGCTGTGCACAACCCCTCTTTTTTCTTGCTATGCTACTTAATGTTTGGCCATACCTAGTGCTTTCCTAATAGACACTGAGCAGTTGTAGTTGTACAGAGGGCAATTCACTTCCAGAATAAAGAGTAAAGGCTGAGTGACAATACCTTAGATATATTAAGATGCTTAAAATCTTATTTTCTGATTTTGTCCATGTCATATGCAAAAAACATAATATTCTCTGTATCGAATTAATATTCACTTCTTTTGTAGTTCCTTTTCTTTCAGATTCAAATTCAGGGTCCCCAGATGCTCCCTTCCACTGCAGTTGAACACTCATTGAACACTCATAATGATTTGCAATATCTCTTATTGAATGTGCTTTTCTTAACAGGTATTTTATGTCATTTAGTTTCTTTGGAGATACCTATAATTTTACAATACCCATAATATCTGAAAATTTTTTGGCTGAGGCTAAGGCACAACTTTTTTTCTTCTAACTTTGATTCATCTGAAGTCTATCTGAGCTTTTCAAGGGTTTGTGCTGCTCTTCACTGATCTATCATCCCTTTTTTAAAAAATATGTCTGCTTTGGAAGATTTCTTTTGGAATCTAACACAATTGAAAACATACCTTTCTCAGCATGATCAAACCTAGATTGTTTTTGTTTTTGTTTTGGTGCCAATAACCACCGTGCGGCCAAACAGACTCTTTCCCTTCTTCCTTTGTTTACCACTCATTATTACTGGTTTAGTATTACCTGTCCAAATGTTCCTACTTTCTTGGGAAACCAAGCTGCCTAAAGATTTAAGCACTAGCAAGTCTCAGCTGATCATCTTTCTACAGGTGTACCTTCAACTTCAGTTTTGAGGAAAAAGAGGTCATACAGAAACTTTCCATAATGTGTTTCTTTCACAGTTTCATGGAAGGAAAGAAAAAAAAGATTAATGAATATTTGAAATCTCATTTTCAAAGCCTTCTAGAAAAAAAATAGCTGAAGTTTTCTCAAGCAAGCAGACGCATGATTGTGGTTGCTACACTTCACTAAATTAACATCCATCTTCAGGAATGAAAGTCTGTGGGGGAAGGGACACCTATATCAGAGTATTCTCATTGTCAAAGCAATGGAGAGGATCAGAGATTCAGGATAGTTAGTGTAGAGCCTCAGCAATGCAGACAACCAGAAATGAACCTCATGAAAACAAATCAAAAGTCAATTCACATAGTCAGGGGAAAGGCAAAATCATCTTCATTTATATGCATCTGAATTTGGAAATGTACCTAAATTTTATGATTCTAAGCAAAATACAATACATTTTTTCTAAGTTACACTGAAAAGAAATCATATATATGATAAATGATGACCTCACAACACATCACAATTATTCAATGATTAGGACTTATTATTTCAGTTATTCAAGAGATTAGCTCTACAATTTCTCTTTGTCTGTCTTCATGTCCACAAATGTTCATGAAATCTGAGACCCCTGATATGCTTATTGGTTCGGGAAGACTGAAAGTGTCCGCAGAAAGGAGGATATGCCACTGCAGACATTTATCTGCATTTGTCTTGTTTTTTGATGTCCACTCTCATCTAAAATGGGCCATTCTGAGTTGGGAATCTGCATTAGATGGGATGTTTGTGTGTGCTTTTATGTTATCTCACTGCTTATAAAGTGTTCATCTAGAGTCTGCATAAGAACACGAGTTTTACACAGTAATTTGTGTATGTATGTATATGTATGTATATATGTATGTATGCATACATCTCCTTTTTAGAAATAGCGAAAGTAGAGCAAATTTAGGACAGTAAGAGACTTAGGTAAGACTCAATTTGTCTCCTGTTTTTTGTGGATACGTCAAGCACCCAGTTCCTGTGAAACCCACCTGGAGATCATTTTCCTGTGTTCTGTCTGGGGCATAATATAATATATTATAATAAGTAGTCCTGTGGGTG